CTCTGTTTCGATGAATTTCGGAAAATCTGCCGGCGTAGGGATCTTAGCTGCTGGCTTCGCCTGCTGCTTCTTTGCTTCATATCGCTTCTTGTACACGGGGCAACCCCTGTGTGAACTTACATGCGGTAGTGAGCAGAAGATGCACTTAGGTTTTTCTTCTGGCTTTAGAGGGCATTCTTTTACTTCTATGGTGCTGTCCACACTTGCAGCATCGCTTAGGATTTGAGCAAAGATGTTGCGAATGTCCATATTCTTGACATCTATAGCATTGAATTACGCATTTTTTCGGAGCAAAATTCTCGATCTTGACATTAACACTTAACATATTGTTGAGTCCATGAACTGCACGTCCTTCCTTCGTTTTCTTCAGCTCCAACAGGAAAATCGGAAGTTTCTCGATAGCGTCTTCCCTTCGTCTGGAAAACTGCTTGACTTTACTTATCGGGAATTTCCTTCTCTCCAGATTTGCCTGGATTATTTCTTCCTTCATCGTCGATGGGAGGCCCTTAAGAACAACCTTAACAGGTTTTTCGCTGAGTAACTGGAAAGTATGAAAGGGTATATTTCTTTTCTGCAAAACCAGAGTTGTTTTTCTGTAATCGTCTACTGACTTTAAATTAACATATAGTAGTTTCATTTTACTATTGGCTTCGAATTCTTCACTGCAGGTATTGATAAGGATTTCATGAATTTTAGGCCAATCCACTTCGCTTTGCTGAAAAACTATTGGGGTGGAGTTTCCTCTTTTTCGGCTCCTCCTTCTTCTTCCATACCTTCTACTTCACTTAGCTGCTCAAATCGATTTTCCGTCGTAACTTCCATTGGAGCTTCGTTTTCTGATACTTTCGCGGTTTTCTTAGGAGAAATCCGTTCTGTTGTTCCTTGCTCTCTGTTCCTCTTTCAGTTATCTGCCTGGATAAAAATTTTTCGTGAATGTCTCTACATCCATCTCTCCCTTAGCTTCTTTTATGAAAGTAATTGCAAATTACGTCAAATCCAAATTTCGCGATCTGGTCCCGGATTTCTTCTTTCAGAACATGACTTGAATTTTGGGATGTGCTTCATCATTCTCCATTGATGAAATCTTCTGGTGTCTGTTCATCAGTAAGCTTCTCCATTCGGGTGTTTGAATGTCTCTTTTTTCCTTACCAGGTTTAACATCTTTCTTTCTTACTTGGTTATTCGTTTTCCGTATCTGATATAGTTTTCGCCTTTTTTCGCTTTACATTTTTCTTGTCTTTGGCCTTAAGGATGAAATCCTCTTTCTTCAATGGATAGGTCTTGTTGGTTTTAGACAAACGCTCGCTTCGGTAGTCCTCTTCATCAGAACTATCGAGTGGTGTCCTATAAAAAGACATTTTTGTTTTTCAGTTTCGCAAATCAATGACTTATTTATAGACACAAAAATTTTTGACAACAGCATACGTTTAGAACTCCCAGTAGACGTTGAACTGAAATGTCACGAATTGAGAGGGTTTCTTCCTTTTATAAGCTTTTTAAATCACGCACGAGTATATTCCGGTATTTTCTCGAAAAGCAAAAGCGTGCAATTACGAGATATCTACTATTTATTAAATGCGCATGCTCCTCTATTTTTAATTTTTTCCGGCGTAGCTTTCTCTTCAAATAAGTCGCGTGAAGCATTGCACGGGGAAATGAAGCAATTAAAAAGAACAAACTGAATAAATCAATACAAAATCCGTAAAGCTACTAACTTCTGACATTTGGTTTTGTCCTAACAGATTTCATCTTATTTTATCTCGCGTTGAAAACGATTCAGGATTACCTTCTTAATCTGAGTCAAAAAGTAAATAATAAGAATTGTTACTGTTATTGTTATTATATTATTATATTATTATTTTTATAAGTAGAGGATTTTTTAACATTTACCTCGAATCTTCTTAATTTTAAATTCCCCTTGTATTAAAATCAGTTATGATTATAAATTCTCTGTTGAAACTTAATTTGGAATCATGATATCTTTCTCACCTTTCTTAAGATACTCAAGCGATAACTTTCTGTGTCAGTTTTCTTTATATAGAGATTTTCATCAATAATCAAAATAATGTTCATTTTTTGCATCGAAAATTATTTTCACGAATTTTGTATCCAGTCTTACATACAGTATCTCCTATCTCAAATAAAGACGAATGAACTTGTACTTTTGTGGTTTTTTTTTAAATTTAAATCATTGTTTATAATTCATTAAATCATTCACAGCAGAAATAGTCCTACAAACTGGTTCAGGATATTCAAAATACAATAAGCGCCTACCCAGAAATTCAGTTTTCCCTCAATTGGGTGACAACCCGCAACGGAAACAAGGGGGCTGATCTCCTTGCAAAGGATGCAACAACTAACATCAACAGTGAGTGATTCATGTCCTGTGGCCCAAGTCCCGTATGAAATTTACACTGAATGCAATTGTTGACTCAAAGTGGCAAGAAGAATGAGATTCTGCATTGCAAGGCAGAAGAGTCCACGATTTTTTCCCAAGAACTGACAAAGAGGCACTGCTCTATGACCATGTTCTGAATCAGTATATTGCAGGGCACGGTCCTTTCCCCACCTCTTCCATAACAGAGGCATGTGCCCCACGGATCTCTTCACATGTGGCGAAAGGAATGACCCTGATCATTGCATTTACTGTAATCTAACAGACGGTAAACATCTGATTAAGCCTAACAACAATATAATACCATTTAAGAAATACGCAATAAAGAATAGACACCTTAGGGTCAAAACAGAGACGCTCTTATACATATCCAAATACTCGGGCTGTATATTTGTCATATCTAATGCTTATGCATCTCCATATATTACTAAAATATATTTATTTAATTTTTTAAAATTAATGTTCCAACAATTTCATTTTTCTATACGCAGTGCTGATGGATAGGAGCTTCAAAGACTTGCTTAGTACACCTTCCGCCTTAGAAAGGACATTTGTTCATTTAGACTTTTGGAAGCATCAGTTGTTCAACTTTTCAAAAATAGTCTTTTCTCAGTATGATTTATTTACACTAATAATACCAGAAATCAGTGATCTCAGAAAGTCCTCTCAAGGAGTTGATTGTAAAAAAGGAGGGGTGGGAGATCCTGGGACCACCCCTCAGGCTGTTCTCCCTCAAATTTGGGGTGCAAAGTTTAACAGTTAGCTAGGTTCAGCAATATTTCAATTACCTGTGGTACTACGGAGGTGCTGGCCTAGCTTCTACCTGTACCTGTTTATTCATGCGACTTCACAGAGAAGCCAAATTCCCGAGGCAGGCCTCCTGGGACTCGAGGAAGCTGCTGGTTCACGATAGTGGAGGACGTCGGATATATACCTGCTTACCTTTGTTAGACACCAGTGTCCCCGTCCTCCGTCACCTGTGACGGCCTGTTCTAAGCCTGACTATGGGTTTAGTCAAAAGTCAATCTCTATTGATATTGAGGATATAGTTTAAGTATTTATTTATGGAATTCAATGTTCCTTCAATCTGCATCTGGCCATGGCATTTGCGTTCGAGAAGGTTACACGAACATTATTATTATTGCTGAGATTCTGAGGCTTTTTCCCAGTTATCTGCGTTCTCTTTACATGTGATGTTCATATGTGCTGGCAACCACTGAAGAATGCAAACCTTCAAACTATCAACTTCCTTTAGGCGAAAGTGGATCCCTTTGATGGGCAGAAAGATTCCAACTAGGATTGCTTGCAGATCTACTTTTGAGGCACAGAAGATAATGTATTCTTTTCATTACTCAGAAATGTTAAGGGATCTTTACGTGCCAAGTCCCTTTATTTAATACAAACCAGCCAGAAGTAGTTCTGGCTATAGCCAGAAGTTTGCAAGTGAAATAGATCCAGCGCCAATTTGTGTTGATAAATTCAACATCACCACTCAGAATACAAGAATCAAATTTAAATTAAACTTTGAGCGGTATTCGAAGACTACATAATTAAATACTATACTAGAAGCTGGCTCGATAACCCTACAAGCGCGTCAGAATTAAAAGCGTCGTCAATAAGAGACCGCAAAGCCGAATAATTGTGTTAGAGATCGCAAAAACTGACGACTTAGCGAGTGAATACCGGAAGCAATCTCTATCTCAAATCCAAAAACCTTGTACTAGATGACTGTAAATATTCATATCTAATTTGCATTCTGGTGATGATTACGAAAAAGAGAAGTTACAATGAAGGCTGAAATCTTAATAACTGGTTACTAAACATGGGATTCTCTACAGAATTTTATCTTGCGTTTCATAAAAACGTTAAGAGAAAATATACCTAGCCAAGAGTTAGCTTCTTAAGCCGTTAGGTTTCATAACAAGGAGTTTTATTTAGTAAGGCGTTGTCTTTTAATTTTTATTGCTTCATTAATTTTGATTATATCGCACCATTAGATATCATGATTCAAAAATTTGTACATTTTTTTCCGTCTTGAAAAATGAAAACAGCTTTCTTCAGAAAGAAAGCAACTGATCCTTCTATAAAAAATATAAGAGCTATTTTGAGCTTACAAAAATGTCGATGCGGTGTATAATAATTTATACCTCTGTCCAAAAGATGTTGTTAAGTACATTTAATAATTTTGTGACTTCAATTATTTGATTAATAGAGGTGTTTCTAAAACTATTCGATCAATTTTAGCATTTTATTCATGATGCTTAGCAGAATGTAACCGCTTTGGAGGCACTAATCTTCAGAGAAGGTAGATCTAAGTTAAAATGACCTTTGTTTTAAAATTTTGTTTGTTTTAAAATATGTTTTAAAATATGTCTTTTTTTTTGTTTGTTTTAAAATATGTTTTAAAATATGTCTTTTTTTGTTTGTTTTAAACAAAAGTTTCTCTTATATAAATAATATTTTGATTTACAAATACAGAAACCATAAAACAGATTTCATACCATTTTTCTGCACTGAAGTCAATTCGAAAATATAAAAATGTATTTAGCAGTTTAATTTTTATTGTATTCTAAGTACACTTATTTCTTTTCTTTCTTACATGCAGTTGAAGAGGATCTAATGCCAGTCAATTTTGTACTAAGTATTTTTACTGGAGTCTTAGCTTTCTTCATCATTATGACAATGATTACTATTTATTTCACGGTGCGATATCATAAAGTTCATGATGTGAACAAAAAAGGTAATGTATATTATATAATAATAATAATTTAATAGAATATAATCAGAATGGATATAAATATAAGTTTTATTTCTTTTCATATGTTTCTTGAATAATTACGTGTTTCCTTTTCTTTTCATTATGTATATACAATATATATATATAACGGGGGGACTTTCAAATTGCATAGGAATTAACAAACTTAAAAATAAAAACCTTATATATATATATTTACAAAATTATTACATATGTCATAGAATTTTGTTAATTTCTTATGCAATTTCAGTTCCCTTCCCCCCGTTAGTATTGTGCATCTTTTTCCCGTGTACAAGAAATGAACAATAATTATGTTTTGTAAGTAATAAAAACCAATCATAATGAATACAAATACAATACATTCTGTGCAAGGAATTGAAAATATAAGCATAATTAATGATACCTGCATTAATAGTGGTAAGATACTGCAGATATCACTTTTTTATTAACATTAAATTAATTGTTAATTTTTGTAACTCAAATAAAGAAATAAAAAAGAAAGTTTGTATAACAACACTTTTATATAGAAATTTAATTTAAATTAATCATTTACCGCATAAATATTCATCTGAGAAGTCCTAAATTCTTAAAACATTTTGAAATTTTAATTTAATTGTCAAACGTTTTACTTTTAATTATGTTTCCTTTGAAAGTTCATTCAAACCACTATATAAATTTACAATATCTTGATGAAAAGAGTTCCGCACAGTTTGTATTAAATAAAGTTGAAGGCATAATCGCTTGTTAACCGCTGATAAATTTTAACAAATATTTTATTTGGAACAAATAACGTTTTACTTCCTTGTACGAAGTAAACAAAGTATTGTAATCACGAAAAATTCTAGGTACCATATTTCAACGAAAATATCCATTTCGGCCGCTATCGAATGCAATTAGACAATCTTTTTGGATGATATCTGTAAGTAAGAACAGAATAGAGGACTCTTTTATCCAAAACGAATTATAAAACTAATTTATAATGGATTCAGAATAGATTTTTTTTGTGGCATCTGTACGTACGTACGTATGTATGTATTTATTTCGCATAACTCCACAACGAGTAGCCTCAGAACGCTGACATTTTGTATATAGGACTGGTATAGCATGTAGTTGTGCACCTCCCTTTTTGGTGACAATCTGTCGAACCAAAAGTGTATAAATATATATACATATATACCCACTCTGTTACTCTGCTCATTGACCTCAGTGTTTTATTCTTATACGTTGGTAAATTGTGTATTTTTTGCTTTAAAAATGATTGACTTAATTTTAAAGCAAAAAATGCACAATCCGGTTAAGGTTTTTATGCCTTTAGTTAACTTCCACGCAATAGTTGTAGAATTATCAACAATTTAAACGTTAAATGCGTCTAAGCATAATTTTTATACCGTAGGAACCATATTTGTTTTCTTTTGAAACTTAGCAGAATAGTTGATTATTTGCCAATCTAGGGAAACAAAGCTTCACATCAACAAAGATGACGTCTTCTTTTATTATAGCGTATTAAATCATGCTTAATCCTGTTATATTGAAAAAAAATTATGTTTGTATTTTAAATACTTTATTCCATTATAACTTAAACTTAACTGACTCACTGTGGTGCCAGAAAAATTAACAAAAAAAAAATATCATAATCAAAAATTAAATATTAAATACTATTTCATAATATTCATATATCATATCGACATTCTTATAAACATTCGTATAGTAAATCTATCAATTAATCGTATATCATATCTATCAATCAATCAATCGTATAGTGGTATAGTACAATTTAACTTTTTAGGTTTGCGTTGTGAGTAACCTATGTAAAGGGAAAATCAATAACTCCAAATTCAAGTAAACTCCATGTTTCTTAAAAGCCCCCCGGCTCAAACAAATGGAGGGACATGACAGACCACAGAAACTACTCTAAATTAAACAAATGAAACATAAAATACATATCAAACACATTTATTAATTTCTAGAATATTCAAACATATGATAACTAGGTAAACTGATCAGTCCCCTACAAATTAACCTTAAGATGTAAATTAACATATATATCATTTTAAATCTTATACTCATGTTAGGTGTACTAATTTTTTTTAACATTACATAACTCACAATTTAGGCGGTTGTACCGTATATTAATATAGTATCATTACTCGGTTACAATTTAAATACAAAAGACAGAAAAAAAATTCACTCACAGGGTGAAGTTCATACATTCAACTCCTATGCCATCATCGACTGATTAATATGGAGTGCTGATAGTTCAACAGATCGTCCTACTCATTGCGTTGACCATTCGAAGAGATCGAGAATGCCATCATCGACGGATTAATACGGAGTTTTAGATAGTTCAACAGATCGTCCAGCGTCCAAAGTTTACTCGAGCACCACATTATTCCTGCTGTCCTTTATTCCACAAAATCATCGTTAATGGAGGCAGACAGTTCTTGCGAATTTTAAAGATGACTTGGTTGCAACACCATTGAAGCTGTCCTTACAATAAATAAATTCCAGAGCATGGAATGATGTGAAAAAAAAAATCGACGCAGCTGGAACAGGCAGAATAAACAGCAATGCACACCTTAGAAGGGTCCTACACGAGTCTCTTTCATTCTGGAAGCCCCGAAACTCACCATAAGCGTAGAGCACCTTTGGAACAAAATCTAATTAGGAAGTCAAAGCCGGTAAAAACAGGAATACCGCATCAGGATGTCAGGATCACCAAGAGAATCTGCCGAACTATTCTTGGGATAAGAGAAATCGAAATTCTTCTGCTGAGCTCTATGCCTTATACCAACGCAAATTCTCGCCAGCTAAAAGCGGAGAGAAAAATCATACCCTCTGCCGGCTGTTCACGCGGCTCGCGAGAAGCAAGACCCGAAGGGTCAAGCTCCCACTTTTTCTCCTCTTACTCTTCTTGTAAATCAGAATCCGAATGAACTCTAGCCTGGTGCAAGCACCCAGGAAAACTCGGTTTCTCCGCCTCTGTGAGTTCATAGGCTTTCAAAAAAAATCATAAAATTATATCTTACCAATCCCGGAATTTTATGTTATCTAAATTGAGAAAATGACACACCCATGACGAATCAAACACCAGAAAAATCTGACAATGCAATCCGAAAAAAACATCTGCACTCATAACGTGAGAAAAAAAATAGACCCCCAACTAACAAGTGAAACTAAGCTTTTACGAAATCCAATTACCAGCCACCCCCACTGTCTTGAAGTAATAAAACTGCAAACTTACAAAGCGACAGGAAAAGCAACTTCCGTTTCACACGCATGAGCTAAAAGGGCGACATTGTTAGTGAAATGGCCATAAACCAGATGTGTGTCCTCGCAACCGTCTCTCGCCTTTGTTACAATTCCTATTCAAGAACAACAAGTTAAACAACACCTTAAGAGCCTAAGAATACTTCTTTTTCCAGATTAAAATACACATGAATACAAATAAAAATATTAGAATAATAATAACTTAAAACACATATTAGTAATTGAAATTCGCGACATAACATATTCCCCCACGCACCAGGGAAAAAAAAAATTTTTGAGTACCAAAAATTTTTTTTTTTTTCAAAACAAAACAAAACAGAATTTCAAAATAGTATTAAGTTAAGTGCCATACAAATAATCCATTCAAAACTAGTTGTCACGGAGAGCAGTGATAAAAAAAAATTAAAAAATTTACTTACAAAGCATTAAGTTTAACAAATTAAATTCTAAATCTAAATGCAACTCATATAACCAATTAAATAGCAACCGGAGTGAAGTGTCACAAGAAAAAAAATCCAATCTTCAAAACCAAGTTAATAAAATTACACAAACAAAAAAAAAAAATCACCAGTGAGGGAAAATAAAATACACCTTAATAACTTTCCAGTCAACCAACAGTGACAAAAAAAAATCCATAAATGAATTAAACACTGAACTGAACCTAGAAGTTGAAACAAACGGAGAACACCCCCTAGCAAACGGAAAAGAGAAACTTGATCAAAAAAAATTTAAGCCGAAAGAATCTAGTGTGTACCTAGAAGCAAAAAGGGAAAAAATAATTTAGACAAACTTACTTGGAAACAAGGAAATTAAAATTCCCGGACCAGCCGAAAACAATCCTTAAACGCAAAACACTATTGAGTCAGGAACTCGAAACCGAAACTAAAAGAAATTCACCAAATGCAGACAACTCTAGACCAAACCAGTTGTAAAATATGGAAGAAAAACCTTTAACTAATCTTTCAAGAAAACAAAACTAACACTCTTAAAAAAATCAAATTCATAAACAGTTCAAGCTCAAACCAAAAAAAAAAATCAAATTCCGTAAACAGCCAAAAAGAATTCAACAAAACAGAACTGAAGCAGGTTACAAACAGAATTTACACGTAAACAAGAAGGAGTCCAACAAAAGGTTTGCCACAATTTTTAAAGAAAACAATGCTGCCCCAATGTTCTCAAAGTCTAGTTCCGGGAGAGTAATTAAAGAAGATGAAGAGTATGCATTGCACTCTAGGTAGCAATCGTAAGCATGACTACTTCACAACAGAACTACAAAACTGCAGGCACAAAAATGCAAAAGCAGACAAGAGGGAAGTGTTTACACAAAAAAAAAATCTCAACTCAAAATCTCAAAATCCATAAATCTCACAAAACCCAATTCTATATTTCTCCTTAAACCACTTCAAAACAAAAACTCCTTGAAATACACTAAGCCTCAAGAGCAATCACAAATTTTTCAGTAACCACACAGTATAACCAGAAACCAGAAAAGAAAAAGTTTTTGAAAGACAACCAACTTGAAAACAGAAACTCAGTATAAACTCAGTGGAGTTAATCTCTCTTAAAAATCTTAAAATCAAATCACAATTCTTCTCAAAATCTCCACAACACTAAAGTCACATAAGTAATTTCTAATACCATAAAATCAAGTTTAACTTCTCAAACAAATTTTCACTTCCACTAGTATCAAAGTTTAAATTTCCAAAATACATTTCACA